GCGCACAGGGTACGACAATCGCAAAGGTGATATTTTTTTTTACAGTAAAACGAATACAAAACTACTGGCTCGCAAATGCCATAGAGCTTATAGCAGAAGAGCGTTAAAATGGCGTCGACAATGCTGACATGGAAAGAAGACTGACAACAACTCGATGTAACACAACGATAACATGAACATTTTCTTGACAGCATATTCGATCGATGTGTATCCAACAATTATTAAAAGTTATAAAGGTTTTTAATTAAAATTAATTATTTCCAAAAGAAAAAGATCCCTTTAATCTTAATAAACCAATAGAATATGACACTAATTTCTAAAAAAAACTCTTTCATACAAGTTTTTGTATAAGAATTTATTTTATTTTTTTAAACTTGGCGAATTTTATACAAACATTTTTTAAAAATACCTTTTTCTATAACTCTGATGTCTGTTCACACTTTGAAAGTAAGTCCAGAGGTCAAATGTTTGAAATGAAGTATATTACACAATCATTAAATTTATATACAGAATTATCGGTTTATCTTAAATATATTTTTGAAAATCGAACTTTTGATATTTTTCAGTTACGTATATTTCTTCATTAATAAGCTATAAATGACTTTTTAGAATCATCTCTTTAAATTTATAGGGGTGTCATTTTTATATCTCCATATGACAGCTATCATAAACTGTAGTTTGGCCTTTCTAGTTACGATAAAGAAGGGATGCAATTCGTAGGTTTGCAACTAGTATGCCATCCTACCACAATACACAACAATTGGAAATATTTATATTCCATAGTATTTTGCAGTTTTTTTACGCTATTATGTTAAGCAAAATTTCAATAATTGATGTATATCAGTATACATCTTGTAATAAACGGGTTGCTATACAAATACTTATAATAGCAATAAAAAAAAGCATTTTTAAGTAAATAATAGACTCCTAGTAAATATTCACTAAAGATACCCTAAAAAGTATACTTATTTAGTCTTTTAGATTGTATATACATAATAATACAGATCAACTATATTTGATCAACAAATATTACTTACTACTGTTTTGATTATTTTTACAAATTTTATTAGAAATTTTTATATACTGAACCCTGAAAATATATAAGTAATTTCGATTACTAATAACGAATATACTATTCGATATTTTAAAATATTCGAAAATGCCCATCATTAGTAAAAATATTTCATAGTTACACAATATATTCGAATAGATTATGTTAAAAATAAACTTTTTTAAAGAAAGGACGAAAAAATGGCTATTTAAAATGTTTAACAAAAAAAAACAACATTTTTTTCTTATTAGTGATAAATAAGACTGGTAATTATATGAATATATACGATTTGTTTGATCCACTTTGATGAATTCTAAGTATGTGCAATTTTGTTACAGAATTATAAAGTAACAAAGAAATATTTCTCCCACTAGAGAGGATAAATTCCCTTTATCTCCCTAATTTTAAAATTTATAAATTTATGTAATTATCAGACCTATTTTTGTTTTTTCTTTGTGTCTGTCACTACTTTTTTTCAGCTCTTATTGAACAAATTTTTCTCAAAAATACGACAAATTTTCAAAAATTGTATCTTGTTGAAGAAATAACTCTCAAAAAATAAATATTTTCCCCCCCTAAATAAATATTCACTAATGATACCCTAAAAAGTATACTTATTTAGTCTTTTAGATTGTATATACATAATAATACAGATCAACTATATTTGATCAACAAATATTACTTACTACTGTTTTGATTATTTTTACAAATTTTATTAGAAATTTTTATATACTGAACCCTGAAAATATATAAGTAATTTCGATTACTAATAACGAATATACTATTCGATATTTTAAAATATTCGAAAATGCCCATCATTAGTAAAAATATTTCATAGTTACACAATATATTCGAATAGATTATGCTAAAAAAAACTATTCGGTTGTATAAAAACAATTCGAAGTTATTCGATAGTTTAATATATTCAATAATGCCCATCACTACTATTAATCCACTCTAAGTATTAAAGTATTTACAACATATTAAATTCTTATCCTAATATTGTTATCGTCGATAACTTATCGACTCATTTAAATTTTTTAAAGAAAAGGACGAAAAAATGGCTATTTAAAATGTTTAACAAAAATAAAAAACAATATTTTTAATTTTTTTTCTTATTAGTCATAAATAGGACTGGTATTTATATGAATATATAAATTTTGTTTGAGCCACTTTGATGATTTCTAAATTTGAGTAATTTTGTTATAGAATTATAAAGTAACAAAAAAATATTTCTCCCAATTCTGAGGATTAATTCCTTTAATCGCTCCAAATTACAAAAGAAAAACCTATCGAATCAAACTTCGATAATAATACATAGTCAATTAATAAAAATTTGTACTGTCTGGTGATATGTTCAGAATAACTTACTAAAATTCATATAATTCCCAGACCTATTTTTTTTTTTGTGTCTGTCACTACTTTTATTCAGCTCTCATTGGACAATGAGTATTTTTTTCTCAAAAATACGACAAATTATCAAAAATCGTATCTTGTTGAAGAAATTAATCTCAAAAATTAAATATTTTAACCCCCGTAAATGGTGAAAATCCTAAAAAAATTACGATTTTTAAAATCGGTAAATCTCGACATTTTTTCACTTTATTTCTAAAAATTACCATAACTTATTGAAAAATAAACAAATAAAATATTTTTAATTTTTAAACATAGTTGAAGCAAATATTTCTTTGAAAGTAACTTTTCGATGAGAATTTGTTTATTTGTAACTTAACAATCTTTTTACAATTTTTGTACAATCTTCACTAATGTAAATGATTCATGATTGAACTGGTTACAATTGTGCCATCACTATTGTGCTTAAAGTTAGATTCTTTGTTTACTGTTTACTTGGCGTGTGGTACCAAACAAAACTTTCATTTCCTATAATGAAAAATCCGTACCTGGGCGAAAAGTAAGTAAATAGCGTGTTACCATACTACCATGTGCAAATTTTGCGGGTACACAAGCGCTAAAAATGGTGGTCGTTGAAAAATCGAATAAACCATGTGCATTCAAAAACATTGATTTTCCTGTACATTATTGTGGTCAAAAAAGTGCGTGGATGATAAAAGACCTTTACAAGAAGTAGTATGATGAATGCTTTGTACCAGAAGTTAAAAAATGGTTGAAAAATTATAATTTTCCTCAAAAAGCATTATTGCTTATTGATAACGCTCCCGGTCATCCGTCTGAAGATTAACTGACAACTGAGGATAAATGCATCACTGCGATGTTTCTTCCACCAAACTGCAATGTACTGATTCAACCAATGGATCAGCATATCATTCAGTTTGTCAAGCAAGATTATAAGAAAAATTTACTTCTGAGAGCCGTATCAAAAGATCAGCCAATAGAAAAAACTTAAAAAGAATTCAATATGAAAGACTTCGTTTTTGCTCTTTGTCAATCATGGCATTACCTTCGTCAACTATTTCATCATCTTGGAAAAAGTTATGTCCGGATATAGTCACCAGACGGATATAGTCAACGATCCACAAATCAGTGTAACTTCGGGAGTAATAGAGAAAGTTGCTGCTGAAACAAAGATAAGATCGCAAGATTTGGAAATATGGTACAATGGAATGGATAAGGAGAAATATATTTTTTACGAAATGTCTGACGATGAGATTATAATAGAGATATCTAGTAATACAACCTTAAATCAGGAAGATGACGACGACGTAAGTGGAAATCACTAATTGCTATCACTCCGCAAGTGATAGCACAAGATGCCTCTAACGCCTTTGAACTGGGTTTGCAATGGGCTGAAGAGAATGATGCATCCTACAACGAACTATTACTTTTAAGAAGACTGAAGAACAGAACATTGGTCTCGCGTTTCAATAATGTTAAGCAAAAAAAAATTGATAAATATTTTCATGCTTAAATTCATATCATGATTTTTGACTTTTTTAGTATGTACATTTGTTTAAACACAATTACATTGTAATTGTATTCCTTAACGAAAAATTATTGTTTTTTGTAAGTTCTCTACCATTAATGGCGTTAATTTTATAATATAATATAAACTTTCTATTGTGTTGTTTAATCTACTTAAGTCGACATACAGAATGAAGCGTGATTTGTACTTCACACCAGGACCTGTCAAGACAAATCTAATCTTTGGATTTGTGATTTTTCAGTTCACATGGTACCCTTTTGTTAAAAGTTCCGGACTATAAGAAGTCTTAGGGAATACTCTACAATCCGACGAATTCGATAGTTCGACACCTACCAGCAAAACGTTTGTCGGATTACCAGGTTCCACTGTATTTAACTATTTCGAAATTTGAATTTTTAATAAAAATTATGAATAAACAATTAATTTTATTCTTTAAATTCATTTTAGTAGAGAGTGCGATCGTCCCGTCCTCTAAGCTACGAGCCGCCATTGCTATTACACATGAAATATTAATAATTTTAATTGTTCATTTATTTATTAATCACAATTATCATTTATTATTTGGTCATCTCACACCTCCGATTAACATAGACAAACTCTCCTTGTTTCTTCTATATTAGTGAGGAGTATCAAATTTTTAGAATGATTTTCTGCGATATCTATATATGATAACAAAATAATAATATCAAATATTTTTGATCTTATTTCGCCACTTAAAATATATTTCATTTAAGTAAACTAGTTTTGGTAAAATTTTTAATTCTGTTTAATCCACATAATTTTCCCATATTTCATTCAATGACAAAACAAAAAAATTATGAACTATGCAGTAATCTGAGAAATCATAAGTTTGGTATTCGAAAATAACCAGTCGTTTTGTGTAATAATGACATTGTAGTCGATTAAATCTAACTATACTATATAGAGACAGCATTTCTCTATTTAAGAACAGCATAACCAACTGTTGGGACTCAAGGTATGAGTAAACAATTTTTAAATATATTTCGAACTCATTTAAATTAAAATTTAATTTATAATAGTGTATAATCAAAATAATAAAATGAATTTGTTTGTTAGCTTCACTAAAAATTTATTTAAACTAATAATAAATAATCAGTAGCAGATAATACAATTTTTACATTCTTACAGCATCTCTTCAAAAACATCTATATCATTCTTATTACGTACCAAATTCTTAGAAGAATTTTGTGCAATATCTAAAAATATAGTAAGAATTGTTTAATCAATTTAAAAGTCGTTTTATTACAAAAATGGTATAATAGTAACGCATAAAAACCTTACATTCTTGTTGCACGTTTTCCATCAAATCTTCTTCATTGGTAAGTTGTATCAAATTTTTAGGAGAATTTTCTACAATATCTATAAATGTAATAAAAATTTTTAGTCTCTTTAAAATTAATTCTATTAAAATAAAATTTATAATAGTGACATGTCAAAACCTTACATTCTTGTTGTAAATTTTCCATCAAATCTTCTTTCTTGGTGTGTTGTATCAAATTTCTAGAAGAATTTTGTGCGATATCTAAAATATAATAACAATTGATTAGTCAATTTAAAATTAATTCTATTAAAATAAAATTTATAATAGTGGCATGTCAAAACCTTACATTCTTGTTGTAAATTTTCCATCAAATCTTCTTTCTTGGTGTGTTGTATCAAATTTCTAGAAGAATTTTGTGCGATATCTAAAATATAATAACAATTGATTAGTCAATTTAAAATTAATTCTATTAAAATAAAATTTATAATAGTGACATGTCAAAACCTTACATTCTTGTTGTAAATTTTCCATCAAATCTTCTTCATTGGTGTGTTGTATCAAATTTTTAGAAGAATTTTCTGCGATATCTAAATATGGTAACTACATAATAATATCGAATATGTTTGATCTTATTTAGCTACTTATAATAAATTTCATTAAAGTAAACTTGTTATGGTTTAAAATATTTAATACTAACATTATATTCAATTAGATCTAACTATACTATATAGAAACAAAATTTCTCAGTTCAGGAACAGCATAACCAATTGTTAGGACTCTAAGTATACCTCAAAATATTTAAATCTATTTTAAACTCATTTAAATTAAAATTTAGTTTATAATAGTGAATAACCAAAAAAAAAAAAATGAATTTGTTTTTTAGCTTTATTAAAAGTTAATTATAAAAATAATAAATTTTTCATTAGTAGATAATAAAATTTTTACATTCTTGCAGCATCTGTTCAAGCTCATCTATATCATTGTTATTTCTTATTAAATTTATTGAAGGATTTTGTGCAATATCTAAAAATATAATAACAATTGTTTAGTCAATTTAAAATTAATTTTATTAAAATAAAATTTATAATAGTGACATGTCAAAACATTACATTCTTGTTGTAAATTTTCCATCAAATCTTCTTCATTGGTGTGTTGTATCAAATTTTTAGAAGAATTTTGTGCGATATCTAAAATATAATAACAATTGATTAGTCAATTTAAAATTAATTCTATTAAAATAAAATTTATAATAGTGACATGTCAAAACCTTACATTCTTGTTGTAAATTTTCCATCAAATCTTCTTCATTGGTGTGTTGTATCAAATTTTTAGAAGAATTTTCTGCGATATCTAAATATGGTAACTAATTAATAATATCGAATATGTTTGATCTTATTTAGCTTCTTATAATAAATTTCATTAAAGTAAACTTTTTATGGTTTAAAATATTTAATACTAACATTATATTCGATTAGATCTAACTATACTATATAGAAACAAAATTTCTCAGTTCAGGAACAGCATAACCAATTGTTAGGACTCTAAGTATACCTCAAAATATTTAAATCTATTTTAAACTCATTTAAATTAAAATTTAGTTTATAATAGTGTATAATCAAATAAAAAATGTATGTGTTTGTTAGCATTACTAAATGTTAATTATACTAATAATAAATATTCAGTATTAGATAATACTATTTTTACATTCTTGCAGCATCTCTTCAAATACATCAATATCATTGTTATTTTGTACAAATATTTTAGAAGAATTTTCTGCGATATCTACAAATATAATAACAATTGTTTAGTCAATTTAAAATTAATTTTACTTAAGTAATGTGTAAAATAGTGATGCATCAAAACCTTACATTCTTGTTGTAAATTTTCCATCAAATCTTCTACATTGGTGTGTTGTATCACGTTTTTAGAAAAATTATCTGTGATATCTAAAGATGTTAACAATTTTATAATTTCAAAAAATTTTTAAATTGCTTAAAAAGTTATACCTTGCTTGTCATTCGTTGGAGATAGGGCAGTTAAAAATGTTTCACATGTGTTCGAATCAAAGTGAAATCCAAGTGTAACATATTTATTCCAGAGTATCCTTTGGAATAAATTGCTCATTTTATCACTTAGAAAAATGATAAGTTTTTCGTCTTTTATTTGACTGTTTAATGTTAAAAACTCGTTTATCCGAAAATTCCACATAGAACTCAAATCTATTTGTTTTATTTTACACAATGATACATCTTTTTTGAGTTCTAAACAGTTAATTAGTAAAATATTCGTGATAGTTAATAACGCATTTATAATTGACTCCTTATTGTTTTCCAAAGGAATCAATTTCTTTAATGAATCATTTTTCTGTAAATTTGTAAGAACTTTACTTAAAGGAAACCGAGTATATTTTAGGGTCTTAAAAGGGTTTTTGGGATATTTTTTTATAGCATTTAATGCTCCACTCATATATTTTGCCAGCGTAACTAATTCCATCATTTTTTCTAAAATTTTGACTGTACAGTTTTGTGCACTAATTTTACCAGAATTAAGTAGCATGAAACAATATCCTTGAAAATTGTATAATGTATAAAATATTGTATGTAAATCATTAGCGTAAGAACATCCAAGGAATATTGTAGCATTACGTATAATATTGGCACAGTTATTTGATGTTACAGGTTTATTAATCACATCGTTCAATGTATACACATTGCGTCTGTAAATAATATATTCGACATCTTTTATATTTTTCCATCCGGGTTGATGTAATAACTTCTCTATTATATCGACGTGTTCTGTTTTATTAGGTGTTCCTTCAGTATTCAAAAAAGTGATAAATATACAAAAGTACACTTGAATATTTAGTATTATTAAGAATTTCATTTTCAAAAAGTTTATGAATCGATTTTTTATTACTAAAAAAATTATTGTCTTACAATTTTTATTTCAATATTAATGAGTTTACAATTCTCTTGTATTCATACCAAAATAAAGAAACTAGCAATAATTTCGACTGCATACACTTGTGTAGATGAACAAAATTAATTTATTTGCATTTAGTAGTTGGAGTATGGTTATTATGTTTTAATATTATGTGCTATAAATTAAAAAAAATTTTCTAGCTACCCTCGATATAATTTATACATCCATATTTTTATCTAATAATAGATAACTACCTGCATAAGGTTAGAAATAAATTGTAACAACGTTCATAATTTGAATAATAATACAATATAATAAATCTAATTTTAGAAGAAAAAATTAATTTTATTAAGATATACTTTTTAACAGTTGTTATTAAGACTATTCTAACTTGTATCAATTTTTTATTAATAGTCTTTATAAATAATGATGAACTAATAGAATATAAATAATTTATAGCTAAATTAAACAAGAAAGTTTAAAATCGGAATGCATTTTAATATCTGATATTATTATTTGAAAACATGTCTTGATCAACCTCTTGCCTGATTTTTTTTTTCACGGTAAACTAATTGATGGCTGCCCTGGAAATACTATGAGGCATTATTTCAGGTCAGCCAACGTCGCAATATAACTCATACCACCATGTTTTGAATCAACCCGAAATTAATAATGAGCTAATTCCCAACATGGTGTGGTCACCCCGTTATTCGGCTCCCAGGGTGGGAACTATTTCGGATGGTTGGAAAAATAACTAGGGACCTCTTCGGCTTGTGACAGGAGGAAACGGACTAGAGGAGTCCGGCTATCGGTAAGCTGGGCGGCGCGTAGCAGCTCAAGACGTCGATGTCATCAATCCTCGCTACCACGTAACCATCACCCGACTCGATGTCCGCGACTATGAGGTCGTGGTCCATCACCTGAACAGACAAGGTTTTTATGCAACGGTGCGGGGAATACACCCCCATCAAGACAGCCATCTCCTTGGCAAGGTCTAACCCCGACGACAGCACTCTTCGCACTCTTTGGTGCCCCGTCGGGGTTGAAAAAATCAACCGTTGAAAGGGCCACCAGGTTTGGTTTCTTAGTCAGTAGCGGCGCAGGTGTCATCGGCATAGGAACGGCCACACTGGTTGGGGTGTACTCAAAGGTGATAACGGAGATGTTGAGTGTTGGGTAGATCAGCACAAGTTTGAGATGAAGGGAATTTTCCTACCCAAACTCATCTACCACCGCATCGCCCATTACCACAGGTACCTTACTCGAGGATACCGTCCTAGGTGAACCACCCCTAGACATGCTCAGTAGCCTCTCCACAACGGAGGACTTTGCTAGCGCATTTGGAAAAGTGGCCGCATTCAGATCGAATCCAAAATTCACTTTATCCGATACCAATGGCTTCCTGGTTATTTCACCGGTTGATGTGGCTTGGTCACTACCACTCCTGCAGTTGCAGTACCAACCCCATAGTTGGCTGCAAGATCCTGCCTCAACGCTTCTACATTTGACGTGTATTCAATTGATCCTAACGACAACTGGTAGGTGCAGCCCCCCCAAACACCGGCACTGTGGATTCCGAGACCCCTGATGCAGTTACCTTTAAAATTTTCCTATCCATTGTCATTAAAATGATATTGTATATTGATATTAAGATGATAATTTAAAATAAGGATATTTTTGAATAATATTCAATTTTATTTCTTCAAGACGATTTGAGATGGATTTTTTGTGTTTATTAAAAATACTACAACAGGATCTACCAAATAATGAAAAATAATTATCTAAATACATATTTTAGTACACAAACAAATTTTAAATTAAATTTTTATCACATCTCAGACATACTTACAAAAACCTCCTGTAAAAATTTAAAATATTTTATTCATAAACTCCGATTTTTGGAGTATAGTATTTATAGTTTTTTTTAAAGAAACTACAAAATTTATTAATGTTAACAATGAGTAAACTTTTTTATTCAAATATTTCATCAATAAAAAAAGGATGACTTAAGAAACGCTTCGTTGTAAATTTGTACATAATGTTTATTATTAAGAAATTAGTGGATTGTTCCAAAAGCTTAATTAACTCCTTTTTAATAGAATTAAGAAAAAATACAAAGAAGTCATTTTGATGATTGGGGTTCGAACTTCGTTCCCGAACACAATAGACTGCATCTAATACCGATGCAGCAACCATTTATATCAAGTGAAAGAGAAATACATAAGGTTTCTATATAAAAAAACAATTATTTTGATTTGTTTCAAAATATTGTTCGGACGAACAATATTTGCTGTTGGTCGTCCAAACACTGTTCGTGTGTGAATACGTACCCGGATATACTGAGGAAAAAAACTTTAAAGTTCACACACGAAAAATGTATTATAACTCTTTTACTATTTAATAGTTTGCATTTTTAATTAAAATTATAAATATACAATTAATTTTCTTCTTTTAATTAATTTTAGTAGGTAGTGCGATCGTCCCGTATTCCAAGCCACGAGCCGCCATTGCTATTACACACGAATAATTATTAATTTAAATTTTTTATTTATTTAATAATCACAATTATCATTTGATACTTGGCCATCTCACACCTCCGATTAACATAGGCAAACTCTCCCTNGTGAAAGAGCAATACATAAGGTTTCTATATAAAAAAACAATTATTTTGATTTGTTTCAAAATATTGTTCGGACGAACAATATTTGCTGTTGGTCGTCCAAACACTGTTCGTGTGTGAATACGTACCCGGATATACTGAGGAAAAAAACTTTAAAGTTCACACACGAAAAATGTATTATAACTCTTTTACTATTTAATAGTTTGCATTTTTAATTAAAATTATAAATATACAATTAATTTTCTTCTTTTAATTAATTTTAGTAGGTAGTGCGATCGTCCCGTATTCCAAGCCACGAGCCGCCATTGCTATTACACACGAATAATTATTAATTTAAATTTTTTATTTATTTAATAATCACAATTATCATTTGATACTTGGCCATCTCACACCTCCGATTAACATAGGCAAACTCTCCCTGTTTAGGGTTTATGCATTTTGGTCAGAAGATCCTTTCCTCTATTCTCATACAGTTCAATTATAGATAAAGTTTTAAGTGCCAGGGTAAGTGGCATAAAATTTGTAGCCCCCCGCCAAATCATTATTATTATTATACCATCGTACAGATCTATTTAAATCTTGATGTAGAAAAACACATCTTAAATGAATTTATTGGTAAGTTTATTTTAATAAAATCTGCAAATAAAGAGAACTGGGAGTATAAAAGTGTCTAATATATGTCATTTGTAAATATTATAAACAATAAAGGCGAAATATTACTGCTTTGCAGAACACCAGAAGTAACCTTAATAATATCTGATACAGTTCCCCAGTGGTTAAAGTAAGAAGGTAGGAGTTCCTCTTGTTTTTTGGAGTTCAATCTAGCGTTCTTTTTAAGTTAAATCATAAAATTCCGATGGGACGCTTTAATTTTGAGCACTCAAGAGTAGAAAGCATTAATATAAAAAAATTATTCAACAATTTTAATTGTCCGTTAGAATTAAATATTTAAAACTCTTAGTTTAAAGTTTTTAGCGCTTAAACATGAGAAAGTTATAATGGATATTGTTGCCCAGTAAGAATTTACTATTGTTTATTGTTATTCACATTANGTAAGTTTATTCTAAGATCATCTGCAAATAAAGAGAACTGGGAGTATAAAAGTGTCTTATATATGTCATTTGTAAATATTATAAACAATAAAGGCAAAATATGACTGCTTTGCAGAACACCAGAAGTTACCTTAATAATATCTGATACAGTTCCCCAGTGGTTAAAGTAAGAAGGTAGGAGTTCCTCTTGTTTTTTGGAGTTCAATCTAGCGTTCTTTTTAAGTTAAATCATAAAATTCCGATGGGACGCTTTAATTTTGAGCACTCAAGAGTAGAAAGCATTAATATAAAAAAATTATTCAACAATTTTAATTGTCCGTTAGAATTAAATATTTAAAACTCTTAGTTTAAAGTTTTTAGCGCTTAAACATGAGAAAGTTATAATGGATATTGTTGCCCAGTAAGAATTTACTATTGTTTATTGTTATTCACATTAGTTATCAATATTATTTTAGAAATAGTTATTCCTTTATATTGGGGGCTTGATATTTGGTTTAATAAAGGTCTTTTGTCTTGGTTATATTTAAATATAATATTTAAGAGCTCATCAATAAAAATTTCATTTATAATTTTCTCATTATAACGCCTTACCAATTGTTCCAGTGTTTTTCTTTTATATTTCTTTAATATACTTCTAAGAACTTTNCAAGTTAAATCATAAAATTCCGATGGGACGCCTTAATTTTGAGCACTGAAGAGTAGAAAGCGTTATTATAAATAAATTATTCAATAATTTTAATTGTCCATTAAAATTAAATATTTAAAACTTTTAGTTAATTTTAAAGTTTTTATCGCTTANGAATTAAATATTTAAAACTTTTAGTTAATTTTAAAGTTTTTATCGCTTAACATGAGAAAGTTATAAGGATATTGTCACCCAGTAAAAATTTACTATTGTTTCTTTATATTCACATTATTTTTCAACATTTTCTTAGAATTTGTTAATTTTTTTTTATAGTTTTAATTTAATTCTAAAATATGTTATTTAAAATAAACATCGATTTTAAATTTTTTTGCAGTTTAAATAATCATATTTAGTGAAATAAAAATAGTATGGGATCTATCGTATAGTTTAGAAACATTAATACAAAAATAGTTATTTAAAGTTATTTCTTTATATTGGGGGCTTGATATTTGGTTTATAAAGGTCCCTTGTTTTGGTTATATTTAAATATAATATTAAAGTGCTCATCAATAATAATTTTGTTTATAATTTTCTCATTATAGCACCTTACCAATTGTTCCAGTGTTTTTCTTTTATATTTCTTTAATATACTTCTAAGAATCTTTATAAGATTGTCGAACGGAAAGCAACTACATGAATCAAGAGTATTTTATAACCAAAATTGTATAAGTTTACACATAGCTCCTAAATCACCATATGAATGTAGTCTATAGGTATAGAATTAACAAAATAAAATTGAAAATTCAAATTAGGTTTGGTAATTTTCCTTTACGATGTTCTTCACTAAGTTTAT